GCCACCCAGGTGCCCTCACTCTTACCACTTTTATTCAACATAGTACTAAAAGGCCTAGCCATAGTAATCAGACAATAAAAAGAAATAAAAGACATCTAAATCAGTAAGGAAGCAGTAAATCTTTCACTATTTGCAGATGACATCATATTATATATTTAAAACTCAAAAGACTCCACCAAAAAACTGCTAGAACTGATAAATTAATTCACTAAGTTCACAGGATACAAAATCAATATACAGAAATCCATTGCATTTAAACAGCACAACAAAGGGCATGTGGGTGGCTCAGTCAATTAAGAGTCTGACTTTGGCTCAAGTCATGAACTCATGATTTGTGGGTTCAAGCTCTGCATCAGGCTCTCTGCTGTCAGCACAGAGCCTGCTTCAGATACTCTGTATCCCTCTCTCTTTACCCCTCCCTCCCTCTCTCTCTCAAAAATAAATGAACATTAAACAAAACAGCAGAAAGAAAAGTTAAGAGATCAATCCTGGGGAGGGGGCACCTGGGTGGCTCAGTCAGCCAAGCATCCGACTCTTGATTTCGGCTCAGGTCATGATCTCACAATTCATGGGTTTTGGCCCCTACCTCAGTCTCCATGTTGATAGTGCAGAACCTCCTTGGATTCTCTGTCTCTGTCTGTCTCTCTCTCTCTCTCTCTCTCTCTCTCTCTCTCTGTCCCTCACTAGCTCACGTGCTCACTTTCTCAAAATAAACAAAGAATAGAAAAGAATCCCATTTACAGTTGCACCAAAAAGAATAAAGTACTTAGGAATAAACCTAACCAAGGAGGTGACAGATCTGCATTCTGTAAACTTTAAAATAGATAAAAGATTAAAGAAATTGAAACTGCTAAAAAAAGAAAGAAATTTAAGACAACACAAATGTAAAGATATTCCATGCTCATGGATTGGAAGAACAAATATTGTTAAGATGTCCCTACCACCAAAGCAGTCTACAGATTTAATGCAATCTATGTCAAAATACCAACAGCATTTTTCACAGAACTAGAGCAGATAATCCTAAAATTCATATGAAACCACAGAAGCCCTCCATTAGCCAAAGCAGTCTTGAGGAAGAAGAACAAAGCTGGAGGTATCACAATTCCAGATTTCAAGGCATACTACAAAGTGGTAGTAATCAATATAGTGTGGTACTGGCACAAAAACAGATCGATGGAACAGAGTAGAGGGCTCAGGCATAAACCCACGATTATATGGTCAATTAGTCTTTCACAGAGGAGGCAAGAATATGCAATGGAAGAAGTCTCTTCAACAAATGGTGTTTGAAAACCAAACAGCTACATACAAAAGAATGAAACTGGATCACTGTCTTACACCATGCACAAAAATTTTTAAAAAATCAATTAAGAGTCTAAAGGTGAGATCTGAAACCATAAAAATCCTAGAAGAAAACACAGACAGTAATTAGTCTGACATCAGCCATAGCAACACTTTTCTGGATAATGTCTCTTGAGGCAGAGGAAACAACAACAACAACAACAAAAACTATTGGGATTACTTCAAAATAAAAAGCTTTTGTGCAGCAAAAGAAACACTCAACAAAACTAAAAGATGGCATATTGAATGGGGGAAGATTAAAAAAAAGAAGAATGGGACAAGATATTTGCAAATGATATATCTGATAAAGGGGTAGTCTCCAAAAATGTATTAAAAAGTTATACAGATCAATAAAAGACCCCAATAATCCAATTAAAAAATAGGCAGAAGACATGAACAGACATTTTTTTCAAGGAAGACATACAGATGGCCAACAGACATAAAGAGAGGCCCTGTATCACTCATCATCAGGGAAATGCAAGTTAAAACCACAATGAGATATTACCTCACACCTGTTAGAATGGCTAAATTAAAAAACACAAGAAACAACAAGTATTGGCAATGATATGGAGAAAAAGGAACCCTGGAGCACAGTTGGTGGGAATGCAAACTGGTGTAGCCACTCTGGGAAACAGTATGGAGGGTCTTCAGAAAGTTATGAATAGAACTACCCTATGATCTAGCAATTACACAACCAGTATTTACCCAAAGAATACCAAAACACTAATTCAAGGAGATACATACATCCCTATGTTTGTAGCAGCATTATTTACAATAGCCAAAATATTACCATATTATCCAGTAATTGCACTTTTGATAATTACCCAAAGAATATGAGAATGCTAATTTAAAAAGATATATGCACCCCTATGTTTATTGCAGTAATACAAACTATCCAAATTATAGCCCAAGAGTTCATTGATAGATGAGTGGATAAAGAGGTGATATACATGTGTGTGTATATACACCCACATATATACATAGATACATATACATGTGTACATACATACATGTATATATACATACATACACACACGATGGAATATTACCCAGTCATAAGAAAGAATGAACTATTGCCATTTACAGCAACATGAATGGATCTAAAGAGTATAATGCTAAATGAAATTAGAGGAAGACAAATACTGTATAATTTCACTGATGTGAAGTCTAAGAAAGCAAACAAAGAAAGGAAAAAAGAGACAAACCAAGAAACAGGCTCTCAACTGTAGAAACAAACTGATGGTTACCAGAGGGATGTTCATGTGGGGTTATGTATGAAATAGGTGAAGGGGATTAAGAGTACACTTACCATGATGAGCACTGAGTAATTAGTATAGAGTTGTTTAATCAGTATATTGTACACCTGAAAGTAATAATAACACTGTGTATTAACTATACTGGAATTAAAAAAAATAGAACTTAAAAATGTGCATGGTTGAATATCATCATCTTAGAAGTCTAATTTGTTCATTTTAAGTAGTTGTAGGCATAAGCATTTAATTGTACCTTTTAATGTGTATAACTGTTGGTCATTATCTCTTTTTGGCATAAAGTATATAAATGTGTCATTATAATTTTTTTCAGAAATGGTAGAGAGGTTGTTGTAAATATTATCTTTTTGTATACAGAGAGTATTAAGTTTGATCAGAGTAACAACCACCACCTGTATGTCTCCCACTTAGTATCTTTTGGTGATAGAAGCAAGAGAAAGGAAGAAAAGAGCAACAAAGATAATTCTACCTTACTCATTGGAACTTTGCAGAAAGCATGGTCTCATGGTTCGGTTTTCTTCTCTCCAGCTCTGCCTTTTGCAGACTCTCTGCTTTTCTAAGATAGGAATCCAGAGGAGGATTGATCATTTCTTGGAGTGCTAAAAATCATGGCTCAGGTAAATTGGTGTTTTTTTGTGCTCTCTTTAAGTAGTCACTTTTTTACAGAGTATGTGCATATTTGAATTCCTTATTTCTGAAATGTCCTTTCTAACGGACCCCACTCAGGAATGTGCTCCCCAGTATTCCATTCTTATAAGTGTTGAGGATGTTTGCCTAGTTTGTCTTTCTAATCAACCTATATTCACATAATTATTCAAAAATACTTGGAGCATCTTTGGCTAGAAGATTTAACAAAAAAGCAGATTTAACAAAAGCAGATTCCCTGATTTTATAAGATAGAGAAGGTTGTTAATTGTACCACACATGAGAAAACTTTGAACTTCTCTTTATATGTAAGTTTCCTGGTTAGACAAGATCATTAGTTTTGAGTGGCCTCAGTGCTTACACTTTTTGAGCTTTTAAGATTGATTAGGAACATGATTAGAGCCTGAAAGAGATCAGGGATCTTCCCTGGTAATCCATAATTGACATAAAGCAATAATATGGATAACTTTGAGAGTCAGTTATGTGTTAATCTTGTACATATAAGTTTAGATGATCTTTTCTACCTTTCTGTTGCTTAGAACAAGGAAAAGGTGTATTTATAAGTGATAAGTAGTAACAAGAAAGATCATTCACGGGGCGCCTGGGTGGCGCAGTCATTTAAGTGTCCAATATCAGCTCAGGTCATGATCTCACAGTTTGTGGTGTTTGAGCCCTGCATCGGGCTCTGTGCTGACAGCTCATAGCCTGGAGCCTGTTTCACATTCTGTGGGTCCCCTTCTCCCTCCCCTTCCCTGCTCATGCTTTGTCTCTGTTTCTCAACAATAAATAAATGTTAAAAAAAATATAAAAAAAAAGGAAAGATCATTCACATGCAAAAGTTGTTGACAAATTATAAACTCCCAAAAGAAATGCTTATTATATTATTTTGTAAGATAAATGTTCAAATAATGCACACTTAGTAAGTCAGATGTATATCATATTGAGCTGTTTTGCAGCCTGTTGAAATATATACTAAATTATTGGTAAGAAGGAAAATGCTTATGATGTAATATCCTGATATAATTATGAATTGAGTTTTCAATAAATTCTTTAATTCTATAAAATATTTATAAGAAACAGATTTTATGAGAGTTTACAAAAAAGTTCCCCAGTTATTTTTCTTATTTCTTAGAGAATATGAAAGAGAAACTTGAATTTGTTGAGAATGTATGATATACAAGATACAAGTGTAATTAAAGAAGAATGAATGATAGAGTATTGAACAGGTTGCCTATGTGTGCTATTTCTTCTAAGTGCAACTTTACAGCTTTATTTATTTATTTTAAATACATTTATTTGTTTTATTTATTTCTAAGAGAGAGAGACAGCGTGAGCAGGAGAGGGTCAGAGAGAGAGGGAGACACAGAATACGAAGCAGGCTCCAGGGTCTGAGCTGGCAGTCAGCACAGAGCCCGACGCGGGGCTCGAACCCAGGAACCGTGAGATCATGACCTGAGCCAAAGTCTGACGCTTAACTGACTTAGCCACCAAGGCGCCCCACATCTTTATTTAATTTCTAGACTTATCTGTATAATGAGATGTTCTATATGCAGGAATTATCTGTAGCAACAGGAATAAAAAGGAACATGTTGGCACTTCAGAAGAATTGATGTCTTTAGTGTCTCGTTTATGTTAGTGGCTTTCTGCCATTTTTTACCTCCTTTGCAGAGAGTACCTCATCGTTTCCCCATCATTGAAAAAATATTTTCTTTATTTACACAACTAGTATTATATTTGTTGTTTCAGAGATCAGTGATGTTCAGGGATGTTGCCATTGACTTCTCTCAGGAAGAGTGGGAATGCCTGGACTCTGCTCAAAGGGATTTGTATAGAGATGTGATGTTGGAGAACTATAGTAACTTGGTGTCACTAGTAGGTAAGGAAATGTACCCCTAGTATTTCAAGATCTACCTTTGGAATGGCTGTTTTCTCTGAATTGTTTTTAAGTATTAACTGAACTGCCTCTTATTATTCTCAAAGGAATGAGAATATTTCAGTTACTGGAAATCGTAATATTTCATAGGGCATATTTGTTTTCTCCATCCTTCAAATGTAATTATTGTTCTTCCTTCTGTCTTCCTTGGTAAGCAAGGGGCTAGATTTGAATTCCGGGACACTTGCAGTATTGTCAGAAAAACAGACTATGCATTGTTACAATTTAGATATGCTAAAGGAGTTCAAAATATTTTAAAAAATAGATACAGATATATATCAGTTTTCTGACATTAGAAGAGCTTATATTGTTATATTGTTTATAGAGTAATAGGGTAGATTAAGTCAGGTAAACAGAATCCATTACAACAAATACTTTCTTTCCTATTTGTGTTTTGTAATTGAATATTACAGTTTAAGAACTTTGTATTGTTCATTGAATGAATGTGCTAGAACCACCTTCTGTTGCAAAATAGCTCAGGAAGAACATGTGATTGTCTATGAAAATTTGTTTTTCTGTAGCAAAATAAGAGACACCTTATGTCAGTTAAAACTTTAACAAGTGATTTTCCAACCTAAATGATCACTTTATTCTTTAGACTCTTGAAGTCCCTGTCTTTTACCCATTCACTCCTCTTTTCTCTGAAGGCTTTATGAAGTTATTGGTTGGTACACTGCCTTTGAGAACCCAAGTCTTGTGGAAAAGAGACTTCTGACTTGAGAAGAAAAGCAAGGGCTTTTCAGCACAATATCTCTAAGGAATCCCACCTAATCCCTACTCTTCTCTCTTTTGGCCTCTTATGATAGTCCTTCCCACTCTCAAAGGAGGAGTTCTTTTCTCCAGTGGTATGTAAACTTGGGAGTCAATTCCTTTCTAGATTTTTTTGTATTTATATTTATATTATTGTCTCCCTTCTTTAACATGTGTTCATTCATTCAAAATATATTTATTGAGAGCCTGTTCTTTGCAAGGACTATAGTAGACATTGGAGACATGATGATCTAGATAAAGTTCATATTCTGCTACGTTCTCTTGGGAGAAAAAAAATATATGTGTTTGTGTGTATATATATGTACATATATGCATTTACTTAATAATATAACAGTTGTAGGCACCAGTAAGGAATATGAATAAAAGTAAAGGAGATCTGGTAAATGAACTAACTGGGGAGTATGGGTGGGCTATTTTAGATAGGTAGATTTTTAGAAAAACCTCTCTAAGGTGATAATATTTGAGCAAAGACTTGACTGAAGTAAGGCCAGGAATCTGGAATTTTTAAAAGAACTCCAACTATGCATACAAATTTACAAACCATTTCTGTATTTTTTCCCAAAGTGGTTATGTCAATTGATACTGCCATCAGTAAGGTATAGAGACTTAAAAAAATAACAGATCTGTTCAAATATAATTCACATACTTAACAGTTAATTCATTTAAAGTACATAATTCATTGATTTTTAGTATATTCACAGAATTGTGCAACAGTCACCACAATCTAGACATTGTATTTTTATCACCTCAAAAGGAAACCTGTGCCTTCCAATTTCTCTATTTTCATTCTCCAATTCACCTTCATCTCCCACCCCCAACACTTGGTAACTACTAATCTACTTTCTGTCCCTATAGTCATGTATTGTAGACATTTCATGTAAATGAAGTCATGTAATATATAGTCTTTGCATCTGGCTTCTTTCACTTAGCATGTTTTCAAGGCTCAGCTGTATTATAGCATGTATTAGAACTCCTTTTTAATAGCTAAATAATATTCCATTTTAAGGATATAACACATTTTATTCATCCATTCAACAGCTGCTGGATGTTTGAGTTTCCACATTTTGGCTATTGTATTGCTAAACAGTAATCCCTTGTAAAATTATTCCAAATTTTATTCATTCATCCAGTCAACAGACATTTGGGTCATTTCTACTTTTCAACTATTGGAACAATAAGGTATACAGCCCTTTTGCCACCAAAAGTTGTGAATGACTTAACTTTTGCTCCTCTAGGGTATGTGAAATAATTATCTAACTGTGGTTTTAATTTGTATTTCATGATTGCTAATGAGGTTTAGCACTTTTTTCATGCCTGTTGGCTATCTGTATTTCCTTTCCTTTTTTTTTTTTTTTTAACAAAATAGTGATATTAACCCCTTATCAGACATATCATTTGTAAATATCTTCTCCCATTCAGTAGGTTGTCTTCAGATCAATAAAATCAGAGTCTCTTAGCTTGGGATACAAATATTATTTTTTTGAAGCTACTTAGGTTGTTCAAATGTTCAGACCTGGTTGGTAACAACTACAGTGTATTACCTGAGAATAAATTTATTTATTTATTTTATTATTTTATTTTAGATATATTTTATTTTAGACAGAGAAGACATGTAAGTGGGGGAGAGGGGCAGAGGGAGGGAGGGAGAAAGAAAGAAACTTATGCAGGTTCCACTCTCAGCATGGAGCCCAAGGGAGGGCTCAATCTCATGACCCTGGGATCATGTTCTGAGCTGAAATCAAGAGTTGGCCGCTCAACCAACTGAGCCACCTAGGTGTCCCAAAATTTATTTTTGTTTTAAATGTTTATTTATCTTGGGGCATCTGGGTGGCTTAGTTAGTTAAGCATCTGACTTTGGCTCAGGTCATGATTTTGTGGTTTGTGGGTTTGAGCCTGGCATTGGGCTCTGTGCTGACAGTTCTGAGCCTAGAGCATGCTTCTGATTCTGTCTCCTTCTCTGTCTGCCCCTCCCCACTCAGGCTTGCGCTCTCTCTCTCTCTTTCTCAAAAAAAAATTTTTTATATGTTTTTTAATTTTTCAGAGAAAGAGAGAGCAGGGAAGGTGCAGAGAGAGGGAGACAAATCCCAAGCAGGCTCTGCACTCTCAGCACAGAACCTGATGGGGGGCTTGAACTCAGGAACCATGAGGTCATGACCTGAGCCAAAATCAAGAGTTGGGCCATTAACCAACTAAGCCACCCAGATGCCTCTATATCTTTTTTTTTTTTTTAAGGTTCACTCCATTTAGTTGTTATTGCCAGCATGCTTGGATTTATTTCTTCCCTATTTTATGTTGTTGTTTTTTTTTTTTTACTCTTAATCTTCTGTGCTTCCTTTTCTTTCTTTCCTTAATCAGGATGGATACAGCTCTTTTTTTTTTTTTTTTTAAGTTTATTTAATTTAAAGAGAAAGAGCACACATGTGAGCCGGAGTGAGGCAGAGAGAGATGAAGACAGAGGATCTGAAGTGGGCTCTGCACTGACAGTAGAGACCCTGATGTGGGGCTCAAACTCACGAACCATGAGATCATGACCTGAGCTGGGGTTGGACGCTTAACTGACTGAGCCCCCCAGGCAACTCCCTGTTTTTGTTTTTTTAACTTCATTTTCCCCCTTCTTTAATTTGGAAGGCATACACCATTTTTTTATCTTTAGTGTTTATCTTTAATTCTTTATCACATGTACATTATTTCTTTTAACGCAAATATAGTTTTGTAGTTTTTTATTAGTTGTAATGATGTTTGAAAAAATGTACATATTTAATGAAAATTAAATATTTTATTAATTATTAAATGTTTTAATTAATATTAAGGCACTCATTCAGTCCACATACAGTGTTTGCATACTGCTTTGCAGAAGTCTTTTCTTTTTTTCAAGTTTTTATTTAAATTCCAGTTAACATACAGTGCAACACTAGTTTCAGGTGTAGAATTTAGTAATTTATCACCCAAATACAACACTTAGTGCTCATCACAGGTGCCCTCCTTAATACCCATCACCTATTTAACCCATTGCCCCACCGACCTCCTCTCCAGAAACCATCAGTTCTGTGTAATTAAAGACTCTGTTTCTTGGTTTGTCTCTCTTTTTTTTTTTCTCCCTATGTTCTTTTATTTTGTTTCTTAAATTCCATTTATTTGGGGTGCCTGGGTGGCTGTTGGTTAAGCATCCAACTTCAGCTCAGGTCATGATCTCGCAGTTTATGAGTTCGAGCCCTGCGCTGGGCTTTGTGCTCACAGCTTAGAGCCTGGAACCTGGTTCAGATTCTGTGTCTCCCTCTCTCTGCCCCTCCCCTGCTCTCTGTCTGTCTGTCTGTCTGTCTCTCTCAAAAATAAATCAACATTAAAGAAATTTTTTTTAAATCCACATATGAATGAAATCATATGACCTTTGTCTTTCTCTGACTGATTTCACTTAGCATAATACATTCTAACTCCATCCATATTGTTGCAAATGGCAAGATGTCATTTTTTTAAGGCTAATAGGGCATTGTGTATATACATATACATATATATGTGTGTGTATATATATACATATATACACCACATCTTCTTTATCCATTCATCTATGAACATTTGGGTTGTTTCTGTAATTTGGCTATTGTTGCTATTTGGTTATGCAGCTATAAGCATTGGGGTGCATGTATCCCTTTGAATCAGTACTTTTGTATCCTATGGGTAAATACCTAGTAGTACAATTGCTGGATCATAGGATAGTTCTATTTTTAACTCTTTGAGGAATCTCCATACTGTTTTCCAGAATGGCTGTACCAGTTTGCATCCCCACCAGCAATGTAAGAGAATTCACCTTTCTCTGCATCCTCACCAACATTGTTGTTGGGAAAACTGGACAGCAACATGCAAAAGAATGAAACTGGACCACTTTCTTATACCATACACAAAAATAAATTCAAAATGGGTTGAAGACCTAATTGTGAGACAGGAAACAATCAGAATCTTAGAGGAGAACCTAGGCAGTAACCCCTTTGACATCAGCTATAGCAGCTTCTTATTAGATATGTCTCCTGAGGGAAGGGAAAGAAAAGCAAAAATAAACTATTGGGACTACATCAAAATAAAAATCTTCTGAACAGCGAAGGAAACAATTAACAAAACTAAAAGGCAACCTACAAAATGGGAGAAGATATTTGTAAATCACATATCTGATAAGGGCCTAGTAAACAAAATATAAAGAACTTATCAAACTCAACACCCATAAAAACAAATAATCCAGTTAAGAAATGGGCAGAAGACATGAAGAGACAAAGAAAACATAGAGATGGCTAACAGATATGAAAAGGTGCTCAACATCACTGATCATCAGGGAAATACAAATTAAAACTGCAGTGAGATATCACTTCATACCAGTCAAACTGGCTAAAATTAACAACATAGGAAGCAACAAAAGTCCTGAGTAAGCTGTATGCCCCACTCTCACACCTGGAATTTCGAGGCAACTGACTGAAAAACAGAAAGGATTGGGTCTACCTTGAAATAAATTGGAAGCTGTTGTGACAATGAGTTGAGCTTCTATAGAGAGATGAAATATTGACATCTCTGTGTCAAATGTATATTTCATTGTCACAAAAATCAGAAGCATACCAGCAGTGTGGGACTATATGACTATATTCTTTTTCTATACTTTTACCAACACTACATACCTGTGATTGCTGGTGAGTGTAAATATTTTGGGAATATTTCTGCCTTTTTTGGTCCTTTAATCATTATTATTTTTGTGTCACTTCAGTGACAATGGCTAAAGTTAATGTTTCCTTTGTCCCCAGAACAATATAAAAGATAGATGAAGGATCTGAGAATGCTTTTAACTTTGGTAATCTTTCCCATCTATTATGTTATAGTCTGATGTTTTGTTTTCTTTTAAACCCTCCAAATGGGCATTATTTTTGTTTTATAATAACTGTTTTCTTGTAGATTTATTCACATGATTATCCTTTTATTTGCACACTATTCCTTTTCATTTTACCTTCCCATTGAGATGATTTAATTTGCCATGAAATACATTAAGCAAGGCCTGT